ACGGCACGCTGGTTTACTTACCTCGACAGGTGAGCGCCTCGGATAAGCGGCTGTACCAGGGAGCGGACGAAGGGGAGCCGTCCCGAGGGCGGGCGGGAGGGAGGGTTTGGAGGGAGATGCGTGGAACAGAGACGGCGAGCCGGGCGCGAGTGGCGCGCGAGCGAGCGAGCGAGCGAGCGAGCGCGAGGAGGGGCGGGAGGGGAGAGAAAGAGAGAGAGACGGAACCGGGCGTGGGGAGGGGGATTCGAACGGGAAAGAGAGAGAGAGCCGCGGCGGTGCGATCGAGGAGGACGGAGCACGGGAAGCATGCGGCGGAGGGCCCCATTCCCGGCACTCGCGCGAAAACGAGCGGCTCGACGCGCCGCACGCTCGGCGGATCGCGCGAACGCACGTGACCGCGCACGCTCTCGTCTCCGAGAAACGCTCCGTCCGAGTCAACTTCGTGTACTTAGCTAAACTCCCAAACTTCACGGCGGATCAGTCGTGGATGTGCGCTACTCTCTCTCTCTCTTTTTCTCTCTCTCTCTCTTTCTCTCTCTCTCTTGAGAACGCTCGATCGTGTTGCCACGTGGGGTAGTCCCTTCCATGGTTTCTTCGGACGAGAGTAAAGCGTTCGACTGTCAGCTCGGAACCGAGCTCGCGTTACCGTCGCCGGGACAGTGAGTGATATTCGGTTGAAGGTCGAGTACTCCAATTGATAAGAGGCGCCAGGAGTTTCGTCGAGTTTCATCTGTGAGAGATCGGGATGAGATTCTTTTCGCGGGAGTAATCGCGGAGCGACGTTTGAAATATTTCAACTGCGGACAATCCGCGACTTGTTCGCATGACTGTGCGCCGATCAGTGGTCCGTGCTTCAAGATTCCGCAGTGGAGTTCTCGAGAGTCAGCGGGTAAAATCGTCGCGACAAACTCGTGTGATTGTGGATAAACGCTCGTCCGATCGACGCCGGAGGGAATCGATCGGCTGTTGCTCGAAGCTTTCTCTTTTTGTGGATTATGTTCTGGTAGGGCCGAAATCGCTCGCACGCAGCGGTGAATTTCATCGAAAGAGAGTTTGCCGGCGAGTGCGTCCAGAAATCGTTCGTTCCAGGTAAATTTGCGAAGCGCACGGCCGCTACTTGCTTTCGCTCGTCGTAAGTCTTCTTCGCGCTGAAGTTGTCCGGGAAAATTCCGCGAAACTTTTTTTAATAGCCGCCTGAAAAGGCGCGACAAATGAAGTAGCACGTTACCCTCATATGCGCGAATCACGCACGGTAGAAGGATAATTGCCGAGGAAGTTGCAAAAGTTCATTGCGCTTTCATTCATACCTCATTGTCTCGCGTAGCAAGAGCAAGCGGAGCGAATCCGCGTTGTTTCGAGGTGTCGGTTGCGACCGGGCGAGAAATTACGAAATTACGGTTATCTTTTTTACAGTTTTCAGCCCGTCAAATATATATCTCTCATCTAACGCTGTGGAACACGCGAGCGCTTGCGCGGGTAAAATCTGTGGATCAACGTTGATATTTGATGTTGAGGGTCTGAGAAAGTGTGACGCTAAATCGCGGAGTGCAAAATAAATCATAGTTTCTAGATCGCCAAACGTAACAATACGCGTTAAACAGTTGTCGTTCGAGTCAAGCTCGGTGAAAAATTTTTCATCAACTGCCGCGCGATGCGTTTCGATAATTACTGCATCGCTTTCTTGATTGCTGAAGGAACAGCGAACTGTCCGTCCAAGCGTGTGCGTTGCACGAAAATCGAATTCTTCGCTTCTCGCGAGTAGCGCGTTCAAGCTTCCACGCGGCCGTTGATCGCCGCCGTTCGATACGACGGCGACGTCCGATGATCATGCGAGCACGTGGCTCGGCTCGGGGATCGCGATCCCCCAGAGAAATCCTCTCGCGTGAGCGCGCGAGATCTCCGCTCGCGAGCAGCGTAAGGTGAACGCACTGACTTGCGACGCGGATGGAACGCGGAACCGAGCGAGCGATGTGCGAGACAAATGATCGTCTGCGAGGTCGCGAAACCGCCGCCGCGCCGACGAAAATTGCCCAATCTAAAAGGACAAAATTTGCTTTTCCTTCCCGACGCGCCGGGGTATCGATTAAATATCGATACCCATGTATTATCGTGAATTTTTATTTGCGTTTATAAAAAATGTACAAATGAATCTGATATTACGATAAAAAAGTCTATATTTTTATAATATGTTTGTATAAGAACGCATTTGGTCAACAAAATAATATTTGGGATAACTTTTTCTTCGTCAAAATGGATTTTTGTTTCCAATTTTTTTAGATTTAATTCAAATATTTTAAGAAATTTCTTTCAAAACTGTTGTGTTTGATATTATAAAAGAATTATTATTAGAAATAAATGACATTTGCATTTTTGTGACATTACGGTGGATTATTGATAATTTTGAAATGGATTAATAATTGATTTGTAAAAAAATATTATAGAGAATATTACTAAGCATTTTCGTTTTGCATTTCACGTTTAACTTTTAAACGGAATCCAAATCAAGTGCGTTTTGTGTGAAACACGAGCTTTTGAAAAAAAAAAGCTGGCACTCGTTGATTGACGCGACCCTGGCAAATTATTACTGTTTCGAAAAGCTATTTGACAGGAGCACTCTCGTTTTTCAGCCATTATTCTATTATCGACTGACAATTTTCGAAACAATCGGAAAGGCTTTCAACACATCGCAAAAAAAAAAAAGAGGAATAGAATCACAGCTTTTGATCGAGGCAATCTTCGTGGCATGCGTGATCGACGAAGATTGGTACCGTTTGTTACGTCACACAGCGACGATACATCGCGTTCCGATAAAGATCCGCGATTGCCTAAAAACACACATGATACTATTGTTGGAATCACGCTAATCGGCGATTGGCGTGTTACAGTCGCATGAGAGTCCCTCCTGAAAGTTTGGGGAAAGGCCTTTATCGAGACGATTCCGCCTCTTATCATCTCTCTCGTCACGAAACGTTTCGAAACGATAAATAACAATAACAAACGTCATAAATAATTCCGTGGCAAATTCGTTGGTCGCGCGACTCGAATACGCCATTACATTTGCATTGCACCGTCCGGCACTTCGGCCGATCGTTGCAACTCGATCGCAAGCACTCTGCATATCGATCGGCGAATATCTAACTGCGCGAATTGTCACAAAACACTTGAAATTCGCGAGGCGGAAAAACAGTGCCGGCCAGGGGAGGGGCGGGCGGGGGGGGAGGAAAAAATGGGCAGAGGGGAGGACGCGAAGCGAGACGCGCAGGTGAGAGAGCGAGACCGAGAACGGACAAAGAGAACGGTGAAGAGGAAGAGGGGTGAATGTTTGTCGGAGGAGGAGGGCAGGGGGGGAGGTTGTGACCAAGAAGAGGAAGGAGGGGGGGAGGGACAAGCCAGGAAGAAGTCAACGTCCGAAGATTACGGCAATGACATTCACTTTTTCTCACTCTCCGCCTCGTGTTTCTCTCGTGCTCTCCGGGCCTTTTTTTCTCCCCTTTCCGCCCTCTCCTTGTTTCTCGGCGCGATTCGCCGGCGATTCCTCTCGTCGTCTCTCGTCTCGATCGTGCGAAAACGCCGGGATACGCTAGATGGAACACTTTGGAAATTGCCTAAAGGCTCGCGGCGCGATCGGACGGAAAGCCTGCATATTCATTTTTATTATTGCAAACCAAACTCGGAGAGAAGATTTATATAAAAATAGTTTTGCGCTGATTCTAATAACTCAGCTTTCATCGCACGGCTCGTAACGAATTTTTTTTTCTCGATTCGAAAGACATTTTATTTTTAGCAATACCTTAAAAATTAAGATCGTAGCTCTCATGTAAAATGTATGTAACCAAACTTTGCGAATGAAATATTACAGTATATTTTTTTTAGAAAGATAGATAGTTTTGGAAAACATGAAATTTTTTGTTTCTAGTTTTTGAATATACACGATCGAAGATTAGTTGTCTGTTGGTATTTTTGCATGTATTTCTTTATTTTTGCATCTTTTTTTCTACTCTCTTATTTTTTATTTGACGAGAATGGAAATATAATCATTTCTTCTTTATGCTAAATTAACATGTTAACTCCCGAGTAATTTATATGCTTTGCTGTTTGTGTTTTGCAAGATTAATAGCATTATGGACAAATATATGGAAATATATATTATTCAAAATAAAAATAACAATTTAATTTTTCAATTATTTCAATATTTGTAATTTATTATTTAAATGGATAATGCAATTATATAAATATGAAGGTTTGTTTTAAATGTTTCAAATATGATCGCAAATATGATCGATTATCGTTAAAAAATTACTATAACAGCAATGAAATGGTAAAAATTAAGAATAGAGAGGCTGTTTAGTGACGAATTAAGAATATGGAGATTTGACTGCGTATCTTCTGCACATAATGAATAATTGTCTAAATGGCAAGATATAGTCACTCGCGGAAGAATTTTATCGTTGAGTGAATAATTCGAAATGGATTTTGATGCGGTTGCCATAAATTCGAAAACCGCGTGCGAGCGCGCCATACTTGCGTCTTTATCAGTTTCCTGCGATTGTTACGTTCTTTTTGTTAATCGTGCCGTCATTGTTTTGCCCTTAGTTGATTTTGTTTTTGTTTTGATTTATCTTTCAGCGGGATGGCTCACGTGAAAAGCCAACGGGCGTGTGAATCACAGAAAATCGGCGGGCAGGTTCGCGCTAGAAAAAAGTTTTCCTCGTAAAAAGGGAAGAAGAAGGAGAAGAAGAGAGAGAGATAAAAGATAACAGGGGTAGAAAAGAAAGAAGAGGAGCAACCGCGAGAAACGACAGAAACCTCGATGTAAAGGCGATCTCGATCCCGATCGCGATTCCCGAAAAATAATGGGTTGAACTTTCGGCCAGCGTTCTCCATTCGTATGCAAGAAGTTGAAATGGAAATTCCGGAAATGGAAACGATAAGCCGCTTAGCCGCTGGCCGCGTCCTTAACGAACCCTTCAGACGGGTTCTTTCGGAAACCGCGCTTTTAAGTTATCAATAGAAGAAACGACTTGCGAGAAGTAGGAAGTCGAAATCAGTGTTCAGTGACAAAGTGCGAAGTCCTCGAGGATAACAGTGATAACAAGTAACATCTCAAACTGTTGGAAATGCGAAGATATTTATTTGAAAAGGAAAAAAAAAAATTGCTCCCGTCAAACGACTGTGCTTACATTTTCCGTTTGTTCATTCGACTCCGAGCCGATCGTGTCGTCGATCCTTATCGCTCTACTTGCTTGTAGATTCTGTCCATTATTTATAAGCGAAGAATCTAGCGCGCGCGTGCGAGCGTAATAGTCGTCTTCGATTTTTCCTTCACCGTCGCGCTCTCGTCACGTCTCTTTCTCCTGGCTATTAACTCCGCGGATGAATTAAATCTCACCGGCCGCGGTGCGAATGCAAATGCAAGAAACACGAAGGCGGGAGAAAGGACGATTGCCCGACGGAGAGACGTTAATGCTCGCGAGGAAACGTAACTGACGGTGTCAAGAACCTCGCAAAAAGTTGCGAAGAAGACGAGCGGGCGGGAAAACGTTTGTTCAGCCGATTTTCAGCCGGGCTAAAGATACTTGAGGGAAATTCATCGAAAACACAAAAGTAACCTCTGCGACAAGTCGGAAAGAAGGTATCGATTTTCGGAAAGCGATGCTCGAACGAGCCGTTGAACCGCAAAATACACTTCCGCAAAATGCAATAAAACAGCCCCGCCAATGACGTTCGACGCATCCTGCGAGTTCTGCCGATTCAACTTGCGCGAGGCGTCGAACCAAGATGTTATCGCCGATACGCGTCAATGGAAACGTCTTACGTAACGAAGGAACGTTACATCGATTTGTGTTCAAGTGACGGGGTTCAACGAACGGAGTCTCAAGTGTCGAGACTTGCAGGCGCCGAATAATCAGCCGAAAAAAAATAGCGCTATTTATGAGATCGGAACCGGTCGCGCGGGTTTGACGATTCTCGCCGGGAGCAAACGGTTTCCCTCAATTTTCCGTCCGTCCGCAGGATCGAGGAGAGCGGGCTCGCAGCGGGGACACTCGTGGCAAGGATCAAGAGGAGCGCGGAGCGCGCGATCACACGCGAATGCTGAATGCCGCCGGCCGCAGGCGGGAACATCGCCAGCAAGCGCGACGCGCACCACGCTCTGCTCGCCGCCGGCGCCGCCGCCGACGCCGTGATCGTTCGCACGTACGCTCGATGCTCGTACAATGGACGTTTTCAAACTCGATCAGTCGCTGAGCGCGGGTTTGGGCAGCGCCCCGGCGCCGGACACCCTCACGCCGGAAGTGTCGTTCGACGCCGGCAGTGAGTTCAACTTGAGCTTCTTCGACGGCCCGGAGGAGAACAACAGCACCCAGGGCTTCAGCGATCCCGGTTCCGTGGGCAGTGCCAGCGCCTCGCCACCCCCCGGCACACCCGGTAGCGCCATCCCTTCCGCCGGCAACCCTGCCGCCGCCGCCGCCGCCGCCGTCGCCGCCGCCGCCGCCGCCGGCGTTAATAATCCGAGCGCACCGCCGCTGCCGATTGTCCAAGTGCCCTCCGCTGGCATCGTCATTAAACAAGGTTTGTTTTGTTTCTTTTATATTGCGCGATCGCGAATTTTTTCCGTTCAACGGCAAACCGGGGAATGAAAAGGGGGAATCGCCGCAAACGCCTTTGTTTTCCGATTTTTTCGTTTCCTCGATGTAAAGTGAATCTTGAATTTCTTTAAATTGTTATTTTTTAAACTGATTATTATTTGGAAATGATTTTATAGAGGTAGATTTGTAAAATAATTAACTTGAGCCTGCTTGAATTCGAAAAGATTGATAGGGAAACAGATTTGCTGAACAAGAAATCAATTGAACACAGATATTTTATAGATAAATGATTTGATCTAGGCTCGGCGTAAATTTGATCGTTTTGGAGAAAGGAAGATCGAAGGCCAAAACAGGATCTCAATTGTTAAATTTCTTCTCAATAATGATAATAATAATAGACGTTTCGATCGATTTTTCGATCATCTTCAGTATACAGAGTCTACATAAATTGAATTCAAGACGGTTAGCATATATCGTGTAATCGAAGTCACTGCAATAATTAAAAATTAAAAAGAATAAAGGGTAAGAATACAGATTGTAATAATACCTAATACGTTGTACTAGCTTTCACTTAGTGAGAATTAATTGCCGGTTGTAACAAATTCGTCAAATATGACACTGAGATGTAGAACAAGAAAAAAGGACATATAATAGTAAGGCTCTATATGATAACAATCAAGAAATATAATAGAAGAGCATTAAGAGCCGTCGCAGGATGTTAGTGCTAAATTTTTAATTTTTCTTAAAGAAATTAATAAATTAGTCCACAAGAGACAGTTAAATTGTACACCGATCTCAGATCGAGATACCTAAAGTGTACGAAATTTTAAGCACATTGTTCTCATATATCGAGAAACTTAATGTACGTATAGGAATTATTGGAAAGAAAGGAAGGGAGAGAAAAAATGAAATGTAAATGTCTTAAATCTTATTTTATCGTTGAGAAATGTGTACTTACTTAAAAGGCTGTGTTACGAATCGTTTTGTGAAATCAGTTCAAGCACCAGTTAGTTTAAATTTGGAAAGACAAATATTTTACATAAATACAAGAAAGCGAAGAAAGTGTAGTGGGACTGAATCGAATAATTCAATGATAAATTTCTTATAAATTAATATTGGTTATTTTTAATAATTAACCATCAAAAGAATTACTGTATTTAACTTTGTTATCGATTTAACTATTAATTTTGACAGCTAGTTTCTCTCGCCGAAATGTCATTATACTTTCTGTTTCATAAATAGAGATATTTTTTATATCGACAGCTATTTTAGCCATTTCGAAATCCGACGTGTCGGGGAAACTTTTATCGAAAACGTAAGAAGGAAACTCGACTATTGGGTCAATTTCAATTGTTAGTAGTTTTATGGGCGAATTATATTCTTACGCTTTCTAAAAATAGCGCGAACGATTCAACGGAGCTAATATTTCACTTGTGACACGATAAGTTTGATGAACCGTGTTAATCGGCTATCGGATGGAGAATTTATGGAACCGTAATAATTTTTGTTTTCGATAGCTTATCAACGCATCCGACAAAACTCGTCGTGTGACAAGTGAAATATTAATCTACCACAGAATGTATCGGCGGAATCGAACCCGCCGTTTAAGCCAGAATTATATCACAGATTTAATAACATTCGATCGAGATCGAAGCAAGTTTTCAGTTTCTCCGATCGCAATTATAATTTTTCATAATTAATTTTCCACAAAAGCCCCGCAAAGGGGAACTTGGCATCTCTCTTAACGTAACTTTAATACCTCGCTTCGTTTTATACGGGAACGTCTATTTATAGGCCGGCTGTATGTTATACGCTTGGTGTGTCTATCTTTTAACGTTATTTTACATCCCGAGCACACAGACGACGCGTACAAGCGCTTCTCTCTCTCTCTCTCTCT